AGTAGTGTCACCTTTCTCAGACTCCCGGCAAAGGCTCTTCGCAGGGGGCGGCAGTTGACTTAGAAAAGTACAGCAAGTGATCCAAGGGTACAGAAAGTATTCACAATGCATTAGATTTATGGTAAACAGGCGAAATTGGTGACTGTTCATTTATTGTCACTTCCTGGGAAGGTCTCGTTTTTGGTCACCATAGAGGGGACTCTGTGCTGTGAAATGTGCCGCAGAGCTGGGTCTTTTCCTTGGGGGCTTGTCCTGTGTTTGCATTGTTTTGTTTGTGGGGAGCATAGTCGGTTACCCCCATCGGGCTTGGAGCCGAGCAACGTCCTCCTGCGGCCTCCCTGATGCCGTGTCTGTTTGCAGGGTGTGAAGACTGCAGCCAGTACCATGACTCCGAATGTCCTGAGCTGGGCCCAGTGGTCATGGTCAAGGACTCCTTTGTGTTAAGCAGGGCAAGGTGAGTGAGCGCCTCGAGCTGTGTTTACAGTTCTGCCTGCCCCACATGGCTGTCTGCATGTCGACCGTGGTGAGGGCCTGGTGGCCTCTTCGTCTGCAGAAAGGGAGGAACCGGCAGGAGGAGGGGGACAGACTTGTAGCCAGAAGGACCGTCCTCAGCTTCCAGAGGGCATCTGTGATTTCCATCCCCCTGTAAACCGAGCAGCCTGCTACCAGGAGCCGAGACCTGTGTCAGAGGCTTCAGAGGGAACGTCTGTGTCTAGCTCATGATTCTGAGCAGCCAGCTGGGACCCGGATGGCGCCGAGGAAGAACTGATGGGTTGGGTTGGTCTACGGGTTGAGGAGCGATGGCCGAGTTGTAGGTCTGCTTGCTCGGTTTCCCCGTGGCCTCAGTGTAGGCTTGCCATCCGACCGACAGATGCCACTATGGGCGAGGTGGGGTAGGGTGGCAGCAGCAGTGAGTGCAGATGACAAGGCAGAGCCACGGCAGCTTCTGGAAAAGCACCTGTAGGTCTTGTCACAAGGCTCAGTGGCTCTGCCATTCCATGTGTCCCTGTGGGGCCATGTCACCTGCTGGGCAGAGCAAGAGCTGAGTGGCTGCCGGTTCACAGCCCAGGCTGGCACGGGGTGGCTGCTTGAATTTGGATGAGGTGTTCTCGCTGTTGCCTCGTAAAGAGAACAGAGTAGCAGTGCCCCCTGTAAAACCATGGTGCTCATTATTCGTGACTTTGCGCCTGGTGCGTGGAGACACTGTAATTACCTCATCAGTGATATTTCTAGAAGCCTCCCAACTGCACGTCCAGCTTCTTTTCATATTTACTTTTTCTCACTGTGACTCACTTTCTCAAAACAGAGATTAATATTTTTGCCTAAAGTAGGGATTAGATCATCTCTCTCCCAAAACCTTCAGTGGCTGCCTCTTGCCCACAGAATTCCACCGAGAGCCCTCAGTCCCACAGTGGGACCCCCATAGTTGGGTTCCTCCGGCCCACTGATGCTGTGGCTGGTGCTGGAGTCCCAGCCCATGTGCCCTCTTCTCCAGCACCCATCCTTGACTCTCTAGTTTACTTAAAAAGGCCGCATCCTCTGTGAAACCCACCCACCAGTTCAGCCCAGCTGGGAGCCCCTTTCTGGCCTTTGGAATGCCGTGGCTCTTCCTGCCTTTCTCATGGAACTTTCCATGTGGGGCCTCGCCTTGGAGCTGCTGTGGTCCCCTCCCTGGCCTGCGTGCTTCTGTGGGCGAGAGCCGTCTGCCCCCTCTCTGTGGGCCTGTCGTGCCCACGCCGGGAGTACATGCCTATCGGCTCCGTCTCGGGCGGGCAGGGATTGTAGGCCAGCCTTTGGTAAGTGGCCCTTGGGCATGTGCCCTGGGTGGTCGGTGAGAGCGGGCTTTTCATTTTTCTTAACCGCGCGTGTCCTGGTGAGTGGCTGTCCCAGCCAAGGCGCTCAGGGACTGCTTTGTTCCATTTCTAGGTCGTCCCTTCCTTCCAGCCTGGAGATCAGACGGCTGGGGGATGGAGCCGAGGGCGTGTTCGCTGTAACTCAGCTCGTCAGGCGGACACAGTTCGGTCCCTTTGAGTCGAGGAGAGTCGCCAAGTGGGAGAAGGAGTCTGCGTTTCCGCTGAAGGTAAGGCTGCCGCTGCCGAGGAGCCGGTGCTTCTGACTGTCCTCGTGTGAGTGAGGAGCCACGGCCACCGCGTCGCATGGTCACAGATGTCCCGGAAGCGTCCTGCTTTCCAGCGAAGTGTTACTTTCCTCCCTTTAGTTAATTTTTATATCACAAGAGCATCCAAGTTAAGTTAGCGTTTTGTAATTTCCAACTTCGCAAACACTAAAGAGAGGGTATGTAACACGTGGGCAGGCGGAGCCCCAAGTGCTGCCCTCACTTCCGCCCCGACGGAGGTGGGCGTTGCCGCCGTAGGAGGTGACAGTCTGTCATTTCTCACAGTAGTGGGTTGGACAGTTACTGTCACACCTGCGCAGAGCCAGGGTACTTTGTCAAGCTCTTTCACACAGCTGTTTTGTCGAGGCAGCGATCAGACACCAGTACAAAGTTTGGCAGCTCTTGCCCTGGCCGGTTGCTCAGTGGTTAGAGCGTCGGCCAGTGGACTGAAGGGTCCTGGGTTCAGTTCCAGCCAAGGGCAAGCACCTAGGTTGCAGCTTGTCCCCAGCCCTGGTTGGGGCACGTGCGGGAGGCAACCAATCAATGTGTCTCTCACATCGATGTTTCTCTCTCTCTCCCTCTCTCTCTCCCCCTTCCACTCTCTCTGAAGAGCAGTGGAAAAAATATCCTCAGGTGAGAATTAAAAAAAAAAAGTTTGTCAGCTCTAAAAAGCCCATCAGACTAAGATAAGGCAGCTTTTATGTGAAATTGAGAAAAACAAAATGGAAGTTGCAGGCAAGGCTTAGAATCCTAAAAGTAAGACCCGTGAGAGCCCAGGAGGCCAGGGGCCATGGTGTGGTTCATGGGTGTGTCCCTGGGCCCAGCGTAGCACCAGCCCAGAGCCTGTGAGTAGACAAGTGAGGAGCAGGGGCTGGTCGGGCAGCAGCTACCCAGAGTCTCTTTTCTTACAGACCCTTAGCAGAGCTCCCGTTTCGGGGCAGAGATGAGATAGATAACCTCAGGTTTGGGGCAATGCTTGGAAAATTGAACTTACACGGCAGGTTTCAGCAAAGGGGGAAAAGGAAAGGTGCTTGATTTGTTTACAAGAAAAGAGAGAAAGGAAAGAAAGAAAGCCTGTTGGCTGCTGTCCTTCACAGGACCCGGCCACACAATACACACAGTCTCTGTGGGCCCGAGGCCCCTTTGAAAAAGTCCATTGTGCCCATCTTGGTTTCTTTCAGTGACTTGATCTGAAGGCCTGTGTCTGGCGTGAGCTGTTTTCAGGTGCTCAGCATTGAGCACCTGGGTTCCTGGAACAGCTTCGTGCCCCCTGGAGGGAGGGCAGAGGCCTGCTGGGTGCACACTCCATACCAGCCGGGGTCACGAGGTACCTGCTGGCGCTCTCAGCCCTCTCCCCTAGTTTCTGAGGGCTCGGCCCTCAGAGGGGGCCTCCAGTTCATTAGCAGTGGGGAGCCCCTACAGGAAAAGCTCAGGAGAGGGGAGAGATTTCTATGGTGAGGAAGTAACAATTACTCAGAAAATAAGGGGCAAGAACCTTCTATGCTGTGTGGTTACTTTGAACTTCAAAATACTTAACTTTCTCCCCCTGCTCCCTGCCTGCATTTAACCCGTAAGGCCCAGTGCTGTATTACAGATGAGGGTGCCTCTTATAAAGATCGAGGGACTTTGCTAAATTCACTGAACACCCTGTAATAGAGCCAGAGAACTCAGGTGTCCTGATGCCCATCTGGACCATGAGTATAACCTAATTCCCAACTGGGCCACGTGTGGAACTCAGGTGTCCCAATGACACCTGGACCAGGTATAGAATTCAGGTGTCCCAATTCCCAACTGGGCCATGCATAGAACTCAGGTGACTCGACTCCTGGACCAGGTATAGAGCCCAGATATCCCAATGACACCTGGATCATGAGTAGAACTCAAGCATCCCAACTCCTAACTGGGCCATGGGTAGAATTCAGGTGTCCCAATGACACCTGAAGCAGGTGTAGAGCTCAGGTGTCCCAATTCCCACCTGGGCCAGGAGTAGACCTCAAGCATTCTAATTCCCAACGAGGTCATATTCAGAACTCAGATACCTGGACAAGGTGTAGGGCTCAGAAGTCTCAGTGATACATGTACCAGGGGTAGAACTAAGGTGTCCTGATGCCACCTAGACCAAGAGTGGAAGTCACATGTTTTCATGCCCACTTGAAAACTGATTACAATTTGAATGTCCAGAAGTAGACCTTGAGGAGACCTCAGATGTCCCATTTCCCAGCTTGGTCATGCATGGAACTCAGGTCTCCTGAAAACTCTTGGCCTAGGAGATAACTCAGGTTATACTCAATATATTCAGTATACTTCTGGCCTACGAGTGTATCCCAGGTTTTCTTGTGTCACCTGGATCACTAGTAGAACTACCCACCTGGACCAAAGATTGAAATCAGGTATCCCAATTTCCAGCTGGGCCATGCATAGAACTCAAGTGTCCCAATGACACCTGGACCAGGTGTGTAGAGCTCGGGTGTTCCAGCTCCTACCTGGGCCAAGTGTAGAACTCAGGTCTCCCTGTGGCACCTGGATTTTTCACTGTATCTATTGCTTTTCTGTTGCCTGTGACCAGCTTGACCCTGGGTAAACCCTAAACACTACCGGCCTGGAGCCTGATTTGGCCTCCAGTGCAGCCCCGTCTAGACTGGTTGCTCATCTCCCCCTCCACCTCCCCCAGCACGCACACGTGCACACACACACGCGCGNACCGGCCTGGAGCCTGATTTGGCCTCCAGTGCAGCCCCGTCTAGACTGGTTGCTCATCTCCCCCTCCACCTCCCCCAGCACGCACACGTGCACACACACACACACACACACACGCTGACACGTAGACTGGTGAGTAACCACACCCTCCGTGCCCCCTGGTGGGCGCGCTCCCCTCAGGTGTTCCAGAAAGACGGGCACCCCGTGTGCTTTGACACCTCCAATGAGGACGACTGCAACTGGATGATGCTGGTGCGGCCAGCAGTGGAGCCCGAGCACCAGAACCTGACGGCCTACCAGCACGGCAGTGACGTGTACTTCACCACCTCCAGGGACATCCCCCCCGGCACCGAGCTGCGCGTGTGGTACGCGGCCTTCTACGCCAAGAAGATGGACAAACCCATGCTGAAGCAGGCCTGCGCCAGTGTCCACGGTACGTGGCGAGCCTTGCCTAGGGACCGAGGGCCCCTTGGCTGCACGCAGGAACCTGATGGTAGTGAGGAATCCTGCCTGGCGAGCTCGCTCTGTGTGGTGGGAATGGGGTGGTCTTGACCCCACATGGCTGCGTCTGTTGTTCTGCTTGTTAAATATCGGGCTGACGGGCAATTAAAAGAGCTCACCCCTGAGCCAGACACTCGCTGGTGGGAAGTTGCACCTCATAGCTCTGCTGCAGTAAATCCTGTACTTTGACACACCAGCTACATCTCAGCTCTGCCCTCAGGGCTTTCCACACAGTGACTCATCCTGTCCTCTGAGGTTGGGTATTGTCCCTGGTTTGGGGCAGAGGAAACCAACCACAGAGAGGGTGAAGAGCCTTCCTGGGTCACAGTGCAGGAAACGGAGGAATCTGGCTCCAGGGCTGGGCTATCCACCTTGCAGCCTCCTCCAGAATCGGGATGGGTGTGTGCGTGCACTTGTGTGTGCAGCATTCATGTGTGTGTGCACATTCAAAGAAAGACCTCATGAAAGTTATACATGGGATTGGCCCAAACCCAGCGTTCGTATTGGAAAAGCAAATCAGAGTGCATGTCTGACAAACCAGGGTCCATGAAAAATAAATAAAAGTTGAGTGGCACAAAATAATAATAGCAAATAAATAAAATGCTGTCCTCAAGGTAAAAAAAATCTTTCCTGCCTGCGGGTCTTGGTGGCACGGGTCCTCTCCACAGACCCTGTGATGTGGCTAACATGAGGTTTTTGACCTGTCAGAGCTGTGCTTGCACTTGCTCAGCCTGGTGCTGTGGGGAGACCTGGTCATTGCCGCGAAGACGATTGCTCTGACACACCAAGAGACAGGATTCAAGCAGGCACATGGCTCATTCCCCTTTTATAAACCCAGTGTGACACAAAACAGCCCTGGTGTGAGAGCCTTCAAATTTGGAAGGTCTGTCTGTCCTGTGTGTTCATGTGGTTGAGCTTTGGTGAGCTGCCCAGGTTACACACCCAGCAGTGTGTGAGGGGAGAAGTCTGCAGCACTCCCCAAAGGACAGTAGTGGTTTGTCTCTCAATCTGGAGCCAGAAGTCCGAGATCGAGGTGTCGGCAGGGCTGGTTCCTTCAGGAGGCTCTGGGGGAGAATCCTTCCCAGGCCTCTCTCCTGGTTTCTAGTGTTGCTGGCATCCCTTGGCTTTCCTTGGCTTTCCTTCGCTTGTAGCTGTATCACTCTGGTCCCTGCCTGTGTCTTCACAGATCCTCTCCCTGTGTCTCTGTTCTTTTCTTATAAGGACACCAGTCATTAGATTTGGGGCACCCTACTCCAGCCTGACCTCATCTTAGTTGCACGACAATTGTAGAGACCCCATCCAAAGCTTCCAGGCGGAGCTGAATGTCAGGGACCACTCTCCAACCATGCAGGCCGAGTGGGGCCAGTGGAGTGGGGAACCTCTGGGGATGTCCATGGGGAATGTCGGTGGGGAGCTGGATGGCCTGCACTCGGGTGGCAGCAGGAAGTTGAAGGAAGGTTGGCAGCAGGGGTGTGGAAAACCAATGACTTTTCGCCAGCTGGCCCTAGCCCCTCCCTGTAGGATTTGCTCCAACCAGCCCCTAGCCCCTGAGCGAAGCCCCGGAGGGAGGCACCCGCTGCATCGCCCACTGGGTCAGGCGTCACTTCCCAGCGTGCAGAGCCAGCTGCGAGCCGGGCTCCCCAGGCGCTGTCCAGATCACCGAGCTCTTTCTGACCCGGTTTTCTTATGTCCCCATCTCCTCATGGCACAGGCAGCTGACACCGTGTGTACCTGGGAGCAGCCCAGACAACACGTCGGGATTTGGGTTGTTAGAGGCTGACCTTGACATTTGTGTCCTATGTGATGGCACACCCCTCACGACTCTCAAGGTCAAGGCTGAAGCGGAGGCTGGTGCCACTTACCGGTTACAGTTGTTCTGTTTGCTTTTACCGGCTGGAGAGCTCTTTAATCTGGAGCTGGTTTTTGAAAGAATAGATTTTAATGAAATTAACCTGGTCCTGTGTCATCCTAACTACTCTCATTCAGGATACAAGGGTGACTGGTTCCTCCTCTAGGCATCTGAGAACGTGGGGCACTTAATAATTATGGCAGGACAGCCAGCATGCTCGCCCCAACCAGGGTTTTGAACTGGGAAAACAAGCGACTTAGGTACTCCAACATTTTAGAAATACTTTTTGTGGTTTTCTGTTTTGGGACAATGGCAAGCTAGTATTTCTTGGAAATGTAGTGAGAGTTATTCACTGTTACCTATTTGGTACGTTGGATTATTTCTTTTCTTGCTGCGATCGCTACCTGTCGAATGATCACTTAGCCTGGCAGTGCTGGCGACTCTTAGGCAGGCCTTTCTCCTGGGGCCCGACGTCCATCTCTGTGTGCTGGGGCCAGTTGGTAAAATAGTGACAAGCAGCCACCCCC